AATAGAAGTCCAATATAAACATGGACATTATGGATCATTTGGCACCAGTTTAATGTCTCTATCATCATTAGTTTCTGAGATTTGGCAAAAGTGTCTTTTCTTTGGGACTTCAAGGACCTTGAATAAGCAATTATTATTATTACTATTAAGAATATTACTACTACTACTACTACTACTACTACTACTACTACTACTACTAATAATAATAATAATCCATCCATTTTCTTCCACTTATCCGGGGCCGGGTCGTGGGGGCATCAGTCTAAACAAGGACTCCCAGACTTCCTTCACCCCAGACACGTCCTCCAGCTCCTCTGGGGGACCCTGAGGTGTTCCCAGGCCAGCAAAGAGGAGGAGGCAACCTCAACTGGCTCCTCTCTACGTGGAGGAGCAGCGGCTCTACTCCGAGCTCCTCCCGTGTGACTGAGCTCCTCACTCTATCTCTAAGGGAGACGCCCAGACACCCTGCGGAGGAAACTCATTTCGAGCGCTTGTATCCACGATCTCGTCCTTTCAGTCACTACCCAGAGCTCATGACCAGAGGTGAGAGTAGGAACGAAGACTGACCGGTAAATCGAGAGCTTCGCCTTTTCGACTCAGCTCCTCTTCACCACAACGGTCCGATACAGCGACCGCATCACTGCCGACGCCGCACCTGTCCACCTGTCAATCTCACGCTCCATCCTCCCCTCACTCCAGAACGAGACCCCGACATACTTGAACTCCTCCACTTGAGGCAAGGGAATAGTTCAAGTAATAATAATATATTTTATTATTTAAATCCTTATTTTTAAAGTTATTTGAGAAAAACTGATTTTTCTGCCAGAGTCATTGTTGGGATGGAATTAAGAGACTCGATGGACCCAGTAGATTTTATTCAATTGAGCAAATATTCCACAGATTTTCTTTTAATTGGTTTTGTCACATTTTAAAATTAGATACAAGTTAAATTTCTGACAGTGGGACAAATGATGCACCTTAATGGAGATGTTATTGCTTTGTCTGGAATGTTTCACAGTGCAGTGAGGCTTTTTTATCTTCATGGGGACCAAACCAGACCGAGTTACAGGTCAGATCTGGAGAGGCGACCCCGCTCACTGTCAGAATGTTTGTTTTTCTAGATATTTTTCAGCTATAAAACCACCTGTAATTGATTAAATGGAAAGTAGAGCTGTTTAATGTCACACTGTGGAACATTCCAGGCAAAGTAATGACGTATCCATGGAATACAGTGACCAGACGTCGCTCTTTACCTGAAACAGTCCCAGTTTTGAGCCCACAGTCCCAGCAGATTTATCCAAAACTAGTGATATTTGTCCCAGTTTTATACAAGAAAAGTCCCAGGTGTCTCTATTTTTGACCAGTTTCACACGTGTCAGCAGTAAAGAGCGGCAGGTAGAGCATTCGCCCACTGATCTGGAGGTTGGTGGTTTGAATCCCGCTCTCAACATAAACATCACAGGTTGAGCGGTCAGATCCACTGACCCACAGGTTGGCTGGTGTGATTCCAGCTCCCACAGATGAATGCTGTCATTGTGTCCTTGGGCAAGACATTTAACCCCCCTTGCCCACAGTGTCTGTGTGCACTGGTGGGTGAATGTGTGAGTGGTTCCATGTTGTAAAGTGCTTTGAAGTTCCTTGAAGGTGGAAAAGCGCTATAAAAATGTGAGAATTTACCCTTAAAGAGAGGCATAAACTGACATTTGTTTCAGTAAAATACAGAAAAGCTGCTTAAAAAACAACCAAAACACAAAGAAAATGTGACTGTACTGACTCACATTAGAGCTCAGTGCAGAACAATTCTCCTTAATTATGCACTTGTTTCACAAACCAGGGGTGTCCCAGTTTTTTTATTTTGAAAATCTGTACCCCCAATACTTCAGGGGATTCCAACTTGTAGCTCAGGAGTTACCAGTGGCTCCAGTGCCTTACAAGCAGCTCACCAAAGGACTTCTGAATTTTACATATTGTACTAAATAACTCAAATGTGATTAATTACCATTGTAAAAGTGTTATTTTGAACTTTGTGCACTAATAAATGGCTAATGGTTTAATGTTTTATAGGCATCTAACTGTACATCTAAGGCTTGCCTCTTATAGGCGAGTTTCATTGTTGACAAAAGCGCGCGTTGCATGCTGGGAATTATTTTGGTCGGCGGCAATAAACACTAATTCAACATGACGGACGGAGCGAGAAAGCACGTAAAGGGTATTGATCCCGGTTATTTATCCACTCTAACGGCAGAGGACCCAAGACCATTTGACCAGAAATTGGTCATAAACATCGATGGAGCCAAATCACCCTTTTCAACCCAGACAGAGCCTGGACCAAACCAAATTTCTGGTCGGAATCACCAACTACCTGGACAAATACTTTAACTTCTTAGGTTTCTTTTTAAAGACAATGCAGTAAAGTGTGTTTACCTTGTTGACATGTTTCGGCTGCTGCTGCAAGCCATCTTCAGAACTGTCACCGGTGTTGGTGGTGACGTGTCGTATATCAGTTGTTGTTACTTCCTGTAGGCGTGGTCAGCCTGATGGACCTGCAGGTGGCTCAGACTGACCACGCCTCCCGTCGCCCGGTGTCTCTGGAGGAGGGTGTCCCAGGTGTGTAAAAGGAGGAACGCTCCGTCATCACGGTTAATGCTGTCCGTGCCTCGCTTTCTGATTTCACTGTCCTCCTTGATCCAGCGTTTGAACTTGTTGTTTTCCGATCCAATGATCCGAGCCCCGACCCAATCCAGAATGTGGTTGTTCCTTTTACAGTGGGTCTGATATGGCGGATTTTAGGTTTTCCTGTTCTGCTTTGTCTTTTTGTGTTCTGGTGAGTCTCCCTGACGTTTCCTTTATGCAATTACAGGAAGTAACAACAGCTGATATACGACACGTCACCACCAACACCGGTGACAGTTCTGAAGACGACTTGCAGCAGCAGCCGAAACATGTCAACAAGGTAAACACACTTTACTGCATTGTCTTTAAAAAGAACCCAAGAAGTTAAAGTATATAACAAGACAAAATGAACATCATTGGCTTGGTACCTGAACAAATATTCACTTGGGTGATATCCACAATGACTTGGTGGAAACTCCTGGGTCATTCACAGCAGAAAAGATGAAAACCTCCAAGAGTCTCGATGTGTTGTTGAACTTGTTGGAGTCCACGGTTTGTTAGGATCTTCTACGTTTGCTCTGCGGATGTTTGAAAGTCGTTTAATTCACCGTTAGCGGTTCTTTTCACTCGGAATACAACAAAGACATTTTCCTTCTTCCGTGCTTCTATTTGTGCATCCGATAATGCAGCAGGAATTTACCATTATCGGGGAGAAATACGCGAGGTTACGCACTGTGTTTGACGCTACCGTGTTCCTTGCCTCCGACCAAAATATTTCCCAGCAGCAACACGGGCTTTTAATAACAATGACGTCAGCTGAAACTCGCCTATAGTAAATCCATTTCTTGCAACCGCTTAAATGAGTAGCTTTCCAGCATTTTCATTTTGTAAAAGTAGCTCACCGGATGCAAAAAGGTTGGAGACCCGTGCTATACATAGAAACGCGCAGGTGACCGGCCCACCACCAAAAAAGTTACACAATGCACCTTTAAAACATGACAAAAAGACAAAAATAAATAAATAAATAAAAACATGTTGCACTTATTTCCTATATTTTGTCTAGCCATTCTAAAGATCCACGTTGCACTTGGAGGTTTTTTAATCTGTGTATCATTCGTTCATTCATTTTTCAATATAAAACCAAAAATAAGAAAACGGAACAACTGTTTTCTTCATTATTTGTCTCCAAATCTAAAATGCAAAAACAGATAAAGATTTGTTTTTTTCAGTTTTCGATTTTGTGTTTAAATGAAGAATGGAAAAAAAACAGATAACGACCGTTTCCCGTTTACGTGACTTCCGTGACTGTGATGCCGGACTGAACCAGGACTGATCCAGGTCCGGAACCAGACCAGCACCAGACCGGGACAAGACTGGGACCAGGGTGGGACCAGAGCGAGACCAGAGGGGACTCCAAGCTTTGACTCCGAGCCTCAGCTTCGAGCTCCGGCCTGGTCCCGGTCTCAGTCTCGGTCTCAGTCCCGCTCTGGTCTCAGTCTCACTCTGGTCCCAGTTGCAGTCCTGATCTCTGTCTCGGTCTGGTCCCGCAGTGGTCTTGGTCTCAGTCCCGCTCTGGTCCCCATCCGGCCCGGCCTGGTCCCGGTCTCAGTCCCAGTCTCAGTCTCGGTCTCAGTCCCGCTCTGGTCCCCTCTGGTCCCAGTCTGGTCTCGGTCTGGTCCCGCTCTGGTCCTGGTCTGGTTCTGGACCTGGATCAGTCCTGGTTGAGTCCGGCATCGCAGTCACGGGAGTCTCGTAAACGGGAAATGGTCGGTATCTGTTTTTTCCATTTTTCATTTAAACACAAAACTGAAAACTGAAAAAAAGAATCATTATCTGTTTTTTCATTTTGGTTTTGGAGACAAATCATGAAGAAAATTGCTGTTTTTTCGTTTTCTTATTTTTGGTTTTATATTGAAAAAATAATGAACGAATGATACACAGATTTATTTATTTTTTATTACAGGGCTGAGAGACAGACCCGAGTGTTTCCATCGCGCGCTCAGGTCCTGCACTGTCTCTTTAAATCGCATTCTTGGAGCTGGAAGTAAACAGCCACTTTTCTTCCCTCGGCAGCCGCCTGAAACATCCCCAAAGCTGTGAGCGCGGCCGCAGATGTGACCGGGCCTCGCTCCGGCTCCTCTGCGGGACATTCCTCCGGAGCGACGGCGGCCCCTCCCCGCTCCCTCCCCGCGCCGGGCCCCCGTGTGCGCATGCGCCGCTCTCCGCTGTCAGGGCACGGCAGACTGACAGTATGGCGGCGGGGTGCAGCTGGAAGGATGCTACTGTCGCCCGTGATGTGTCTATCGCCGGCCGGACCCGCATGGACTATTGACGCTCCCCAGAGACCAGGATTTAGCAGAACCGGGCCGCGGCTTTGAGCTCCGAACATGGCCAGGCTCGCGGACTACTTTGTGGTTGTGGGTTACGACCTCGACAAACGAGGTGGGTGCTGCGCTCGGGCTACTGCGCCTAGCCGACTGTTATTAGCTCCGAGCGGCGGGGACTCCGTAAACACTGGGCATTTCGTCCGGGGCGGGGGCGGGGCTTATAACGTCCTGCCGCAACCATGGCAACGCACTTTTAAAACTCCAAAAGCTCCAAAACAGTCTGGAATATTGCTTTTTTTATTTGCCAATAAAAATGATCGCTGTGGCTCTAACAACCGCTGTCAGTGAACACAATTCACAAACTATGAATGAGCTGGGATGATATAAACATAAAACTTTAATTATTTTTTAAATTAATTTTAGTATTTAACAAGAAAAAAAAAAAACATAAAACTTTTAATAATAATTGTAAAATATTAACTGATAAGGTAAAAAGCATGCATAAAATAAGGAATTAAAATAGGGATGTATAAAACATGATGATATTGCAATTGTTGTTGGAAATGTGCAAAAAGATTATTATTTAGTTTATCGTCTATAATTAAAATGATCAAATTGAAAAAACGTCTGTAAAAAAAAAAAAGAGGTTGTATGGAGGATTTTTTTTGTTTCAAATTGTCATCAAAAGTTTAAAATACCATTAGAGAGACGCAGCAGCCTTGTAATTACGATGACCCAAAAAAAAAAAAAAAAAAAAGAAAATCTATCAACTGTGGATGTAGTGAGGCCAGATAAACATCAGCCAATAGAAAACGAGGCTGCCTCTTTATCTATTGGCTGTTAGGTCGTCAATCAAACTCCCTACGTTTCTAGTGTAACTGACTCGTCGGCGCGCGGGGATTATGTGGTTTATGCAGCGGTTCTTAGAGGCTTTTTCAAACTGTCGCTTCCTCACAAATCGCACAAAGTTTGTTGCGATGGCGGACGAGAATCCACGACCAGTTCGCCGCCAAAGAAAGTCCGTTTTTGAGGTCGCTGAAAGAAGAAAAGAAGGGGAAAAGGAGCGAAGACAAACTGAGGTGATTTTTGGAGATTCCTTCCAGCGATGGCGCGAATGAAGCAGACGAAGAGTCTAAAAACTAAAGACGCGTCGGTCGCTAAATTATTTCTAGACAGGTCACTTCAACGGTAATTCTGAACACGCACTGGATGTAAACAAGCGTGATTTCTAGAGTAAAGAGGCGGGAGGAGGTGTTTCTACTGAGGGAAGGTGGTGTCACGCATGCGCAACATTTGAAAAAGGACTGTCGCTGTATTTCACTTCCCTTAAAAAATCCTCTATACAACCTTTAAGAGACGTTATTGCTTCGTCCGGAATGTCTCACAGTATGGCATTAAATGTTTCCAACCAGACCAAGTTACAGGTCAGATCTGTGGAGAGGCAACTTAGACTTAAATTAATTGAACCACAAGGGAAATTATTTGTACACAGAAGCTCACTCATCACAATATAAAACAATAACAAAGAGTAAAAATTATAAATAATTACCATTTAAATAATAATAAAAAAACTAATACAATAATAAATAAATAAAAATAATAAAATAAAAACATCTAAATAAGTAGCAAAAAACAGATAGTAACAGACAGGTGCCAATATGGTATAATTATATAAATGTATGTGTACAAGTCAAAATAAAATAGAAAAATAAGTAATTAAAATATAATAATAATAAAAAAAATGTATAAAATCTCAGCTTTATACAAGAGGTCATAGGAAGACAGTGCAACAACAATATGACTGACAGGACATAGGGTTATCTGTTACATTAGGGTGAGTTGTTGTACAGTTGTAGGGAGTATTATCTGTTACATTAGGGTGAGTTGTTGTACAGTTGTAGGGAGTATTATCTGTTATATTAGGGTGAGGTGTTGTACAGTTGTAGGGAGTATTATCTTTTACATAAGGGTGAGTTATTGTATAGTTGTAGGGAGTATTATCTGTTACATAAAGGTGAGTTGTTGTACAGTTGTAGGGAGTATTATCAGTTATACAGTGTTTTCTATTCACCTGCCCTGCCAGGGGGAAAAAAAACTTACTGTTTTTACAAGACGAAGCTTAAATTAGACTTAACATTGTACCAACAACACATACAATTTTTCTTTTACTTTTTGTTGTTGCAAATGTAGATTTTTGACAATATTATTTTTTCAGGGTTTTCCATATCAGGGTTAGGAATCAGGACCAGGGTTAGGTTTAGGATAGGTGACCAAATTTTCTAAATAAAAAAACTGGGACATCCCCGGTTTGTGTTGGTTGGTAGTAATAAAATTGTGAAACGAGTGCGTAATTAAGGAAAATTGTTATGCACTCACTATAGTCACATTTTCTTTGTTTTGATGATTTTTTTTTACCTAAACAAATGACAATTTACATCTCATTTAATGTTGGCAGGTATCAGACTAATCCAAAATAGGGACACCAGGGACATTTCTTGTGTAAAAGTGGGACAAATCACAAAATTTATGGATAAATCTGCTGGGACAGGGGACACAGGGCTCAAAACTGTGACTGTCCCACGTAAATAGGGACGTTTTTAGTTTAGGAACATCTCTGAACCTTAATATTTGCTCTTCAGGGTAAATACAGCATTTAAAATCGATATTTTTATTTTAATAACACGCAGTAGTTCGTTAGCTTTGGTTGACATGGAACACCAAGGCCCGCCCCGGACCAAATGCCGAGTGTTTAGCGAGTCCGCTGAGTAGCAGCCGCGGCGGAGGTAGGCGGGGACGGGCCGGGCCGCCGCTCAGATCCAGCCGGCCCTGCGCGCTCCTCGCCGGGCCTCAGCCGGCTACTCTAGCGCGGGGCTTCGCGGGCCTCGCTGGATTAGTGCGCACAAACGCCCGGCTGTCAGGTCTAGTTTCACCGGTAAACGCTGAAGAACGAGTCCGCACTTTGCGCCTCTAAAGTGCGCCACTCCGATCAACTTTTTGAGCTTGTTGCGAACTGTTGTTACACTTTGTTGACAGTTGAGCGGGGCTAACTTTATTTGCTAGATGCTAACGTTAGCCGGGGCTAGCTCTGAGGGGGGGCAGCTGTAAGGCGGATTTATTCACACGTTTCACGGATTTAATCGCATCTTTTTCTCTTGTATTCACTCGGTAATGGATGCCCAGCTCCCGTCGGGTTGTTCTGCTCTTTGTTTACTCTTATTGCCCCTCTGAAATGCCCCTGTGAGCGCCCGCTGCCCGGACAGAGGAGTGAGGTGTCAGTGCTTGGCTGCCCGGTTGAGCGGTGGCTCGGGGGGGACACTGAGCTCACGCCGCTCCCGACCCCGTTCCGGAGCGCTGTTTTTGGGGGGGGCTCGGGTGCACGCGTTTGTCGCTGGAGTGTGCGGGCTGTCCCTGGTGTCTGTGTGAGCAGCGGATTAACCCTGATGCCCTGCCCCTCCCCGAGCCCGTGTGGCCGGGACAGAGGGTTATGGGGACGGGGTGTTGGACCGTTATCTCCCCCCTCCTCCTCCTGCCTCGTCTCCGGGCTATGGCCTACATCTGCTCAGGGCTTTGCAGGCGGATTGTTCCTCTGAGTTAACCTTCTCAGGCTCAAATTAAATTTTAGTAACAAGAAAAAATCTGATATTTGGGGAAAATTATCATATGGGGTAGTAATATACAATCCTGACTTTTTTTTTTGAGAGAGACCTTCACATCCAATGCGTTCTGGGATGTTTCAGATTTGCAGCATTGGTCCGGTGTGGTAAATTAACACTGAAGACTGAAAATGATATGAACGCTAACTTTATTTGTATACCATTTTTCATAACAATAAAAACAAAGAGCACAGTGTAACAGCTTTACAGTGGCAAAACAACATACATTTTTCGTGTGGTGCTCCAAGAAACAAATTTTATCCTTTGTAAACAACAAAAATACTTTGCACTTCTGGCAGGCCGTTTGTGTGGAGCCACTCTTGCACAGTCTGCATCGTCCACGTTTATCAGCATGGATGGGAAAAAAAGGCTCCTGAGTAAAAAAAGCTAATAAAATATGGATTTGGAGTAAGTAGGTAATTGGCATTTAGCTGTTGCAAATCTGCAATGCCTGCCTGGAGAGGGTTAATGACGGGAGCTGTCCAGTTTAGACCCCTGAATCGCTTTAAATCATGACATATATTCAATAATTCAACACGACATGCTTGGATCATTGTTATTGCATGGGGTGACCGTAATTTCAAAATTAAAAAACTGGGACACCCCTGTTTTTTTGGTGGTCTCTCACAATAATAACGGAGACCCTCACAATATTTGTTTAAATGAATAGTTATGGTGATTTTAACGTCTTACTCTTCTAATAACATCTTCTCAAAGCTGTGGTCCGTTTTTAGTAGCCGACTTTGTCCCATTTTACACCGTTGTTAACTAGGGATGTAACAATAACCGAAATATCGTGATATCGTATCGTCAGAAATCTCACAATAATAATGGAGACCCTCACAATATTTATTTAAATGAATAGTTATGGTGATTTTAATGTCTTTCAACACTTTGAATTACTTTGTGTATGAATTATAACTATATAAATAAACTTGCCTTGCCATCGGGTGCAGGAGTCACTAAAAAACAGAGGGAACTACATAGACCATGATCCTTTGGTGTTGTCATTGCAGATTACAAGAAGAAATAACTATCCCTGTGTCCCCTGTCCCGGCAAATTTTTCCAGAACCAGTGATTTGTCCCAGTTTTATACAAGAAATGTCCCGGGCGTTGCTATTTTTGACCAATTTGATCCCTGGCAACAGTAAAAAGAGTCAAAAATTGTCATTTGTTTTGGTAAAATACAGAAAAGCTGCTTAAAAACGACCAGAATTTCAAAATAAAAAACTGGGACACCCCTGTTTTTTTGGTGGTCGGTAATAATAAAATTGTGAAACGAGTGCGTAATTAAGGAAAACTGTTCTGCAGAAACCATTCATGACTAATGTGAACCAGTATCGTCACATTTTCTCTGTGTTTTGGTCATTTTTAAGCAGCTTTTCAACAATTTATGCATCTCTTTATTCTTGACAGGCATCAAATTGGTCAAAAATAGAGACACTTGGGACATTTCTTGGG